TAACTGCTTTCGATGTACTTTCCACCGAGTGACGACGTAAACAAAACAAGAACTCCCCAATTTATACATAAATATCAAAGAAAATTATATAAAGCCTAAAAAATGAACCTATAGACCTCAGGGTAAAAACAATATCGTTGAAGTTATCATCAAAACGTTTTAAGCAGAGGCTAATTGTAAGTATTTCCCTTTATGATGTGTCCCGGCAAAACTGTCTAAGCTTATCAGAGAAAATCCTACACTAGATAGAAATAAGAGATGTCGTAAGTTTTGAGCTCGATAAAGAAATGAAGAAAGATGTTTTTCGTCTTTTCACGAGCGTGGAACAGAGAACAAACCGAGCTCAAAACTTACCATCTCTCTTATTTCTATCTACAAACATTACGCTATCGACATTGCTGATCCTAGCAGTATGCAGGACGCGTGTCATATAAACTTTGTAATAGACCTCGCTCACTATGGAGTCTCTGTGGCTTAGTGGTAGAGCATCGGAGCGCGGAATGCGAAGGTCTGAGGTTCGATTCCTCATGGGAACTCAGAATTTTTTCTTTGTTCCACGCTCGTGATAAGACGAAAAACATCTTTCTTCGATCTTAAACTATCCAAAGGTTTGTATCTAAGAAAAAAAGTTTCAAATTTCTTTTGCTTCTTTCAGACTGCTGCTGAACTGAAAACAGATTACGAGGACAGACTTAAAAAGCTGAACTTCACTTACAACATGTATGCAGCCTTTACGTATGACGCCGCTTGGAGTATTGCCCTTATGTTGAATAAGTCCATTCCTCTGCTTCGAGAAAAGAACAAAACCTTGGAAACGCTGAAATATGGCGATAAAGAAGCAGCTGAGATCATGAGAGATCTTCTGTTCCGTACAGACTTCTGGGGAATGTCGGTACGTACTCTAAGTCCTGCTATCGCTTTATTCCATAAACTATGTTGTTAACATTTAATAATAACCGTATGAGATTGAGAAAAATGTAGCGATTGGCCATAAAACAAAATGGCATTCTCAGCTAGCCAAAGTAAAAAGAATAACGAATGCACGATCACTGTTTATAGATCATGCGTAGGGCTCAAAGAACCATAAACGTAGATATTCAAACGGAGTCTGAGTTTTTACGTCTGTGTTGCACTCTTATTCCTTTTCAATATTCCCGATGGAATCTGGATTTTCGTGAAGGGGTTTCGAGAAAATCTCTAGCCGGAGTAAACAAGTTGTGCCTTCTCTCATTCCCATTTAGGAGTTTAGTTCCTTATAAATCAAAATTAATAGGTTTTTAGGAAATTTGCCCAAGGACGATTTGCATAGAAAACATCTCACAACCAGTCTTCTAAACTTCAGAATTGAGTGAGTAGGGAGAAAGGAAATCATTATCAAATAGTTAAGCATTACAATGCAAAAGCTTCCACAATTCTGGCAGGGCCGATTTGCATTACATTACACCTTTCCAGGGTCATGTGACGTTCGACCGAAAGTATGACAGAGAGACGGTGGTGCAAATTTCTCAAAATATACGTAAGTTGGAGAAAAATGATGGCTAATCTACAGCATAATTAATTCAACTAATAAGGAAATTTTCATTGAAATAACCTGAGGTTAAACTTTAAATCAGACTGGCGTATTTCCAACTATTTCTCAACTCAGACACTGATTGGGTCATGATTACCTGAGGTCTCAAAGCGATTTGATATGCTGATCCCCAAATTGTCACCTTTTTTTTAGTCGCCGTCGTTAAAAATTGAAATTGAATTTCTCTTCCCTAAGAAGCCTGTTGGCGGTCGTGATACGCCTAGCTTTAGAAAGCTCTGGACTACGAGAGAAGAGCTCATGATGACGTCGTGAGCTGAAAATTTACTCAAAGCCTCGTTTATTTCACATTTTTTTCGAATGCTTGCCTTATAGCTCACCCGATTACAACTTTCATTTGGATACTCTTTTGGTCTCAGTGTTTTGGGTGAACTCACGAATAAATGGAACTATTTTTCACCTTGAAAGAAAGACATGTAGGCGTATTTGGGTATTTTAATGGGAACATGCGTTACGCTTATTACAAACATTGCCAAAGTTAGACCTTTCTAGATGTTCGATTTTCAGCTGTAGGCCCTCCTTTCTTGCCCGTAGCAAGGTGACGCAACCGTTGAGCCCGTTCTCCTTGCCAAGTAGTTGGAGGACACAGACTACACAGCCTCTCAAAACGCTCGTTAACGTAGCCACGAATGAGTGCTACAGCGTATTTGAAAATTTCTCGCTTAACTTCAGCGCGCGATAGGGTTGATAAGGAAAAATAAGACTATAAAGTGGGATAAATACTAATAATATCTATGTGATGCACAGGGGGAAAAAGGAAAAGTGTTGCCATGTTGGATATCCGTAACGGATCATTAATTCTCCTTAACGACAGTTTTGAATGGGAAGGTAAGTTTACCAAGGAACGAACTATCAGGTATAGCTTGACTATCTAAGAAAATTCAGTCACGAAACCTGTAGATAGACGGTCTTAACAGATCTGGTACAAGTGGCCATTTAATAAGCGCCAAATGTCAAAAGGAGAATAGTATTTCGTTTCCAAATGTACTCGCTCTATTCGGGAGGTTTTCAAATTGACGGAATAGACTTCTCTCTCCAACTTCTCTCGATAACTGCGCCTTGATAGGTAAATCCTTTTTCATCCAACAGAAGACTGGTCTGCCACATAGCATAAAATTAGCATTAGCTGATGGTCAGCCTTATAAGATGAGAATAGCGATAAGCCTTGTGTATACATATTCATCAGTTTCAGTTAAAAATTATGATCAGATTCCTCCATGGGAAAGAAAATCCCTCACAAATGTGCCCCAGTCCCAACGTGTGGCTTCGTAACTCAGTTGGTTAAAGCGTCCTGCCTCAGCACGGGTTGGAAACCCGTCCGGGCCTGAACTTTTTCAGGTCTCTTTTCTGCAATTGCTTAAACTGCAGCTCAGTTACGAGTATCATTGCTATACTTGATTATCATGTTTTTTTTTTTTTGTTCAAAGGCGGCCGAATACCAGGAGATGGTGTCACAGTTATCCAAAAAGTGTTCCAAGAAAGACCCGGGACAACGGTGACCTTTTACGTGTTGGCTTGTGCTGGAATACTGTTCTGTTTGCTTTGTTTACTACTTAACTTCGTTTATCGAAAGCATAGGTACTAATGGAAACACGGTATTCTTTGTTATTATTTTTTGTTTGCTTTGATAGTATCCTTGGCATTATGAGTCATGTTCTTAAAACGTTATCTGTTGTTGGTTATCTTTGTCAGGTTCATAAAAATGTCATCTCCAAAGTTCAACAATATCACTGTCGTTGGATGTCTATTGTCATATACTGAAGTGTTTTTATCAGCTTACAGTAACTCTTCATCGGCAGAATACAATACCTCACTATGCTACGTAAGAATACTTCAGTTTTCTTTGTTTTAAAACTTATCAATGCTCATTAACAATTCTTAAAGAGCCTTGTGCTTTTCACTGTCTAGATGTTTGAGGGTAAGCAGTAAAAGGTAAAGTCTGAAAATGGTACCGAGTTTGTTGCAGTTACTTCGCAATAAAACATTCTAAAACTCCTTAATCGATAGTCTGAGAAGAGCTTTACCGCAAAACAAAAGTTACATTGGAAGCTTAACTTCCTCTCCGAATTCACATCAATTTTGAAACTTAATCCAGAAAGCGATACTGTTACAAAATATGACCATGTCCAGCTTTTCATTTTGCACTCCATCATTTCCAGTATGGAAATTTATACATTCTGTTTTGGGCAAAAATGGCTTTAACCGGTAAAAATTAATATACCACGTCATAATTCATTTCTTTAATAGTTCTAAAAATGTTCTTTTACATGTACGTCGCCTTCGATTTCTACTTTCGATTTTCACATTTAATCAATAAGATGAACCTTACTTGATCGTCTCTGTTTAGATAAATGCTTGGCTACTCTCTACTGGTTTCACCCTGGCATTTGGGGGAATCTTTGTCAAGACTTGGAGAGTTTACAAAATATTTACAAACAACCAGATGAAAAGAGAGGTCAGTAAAAATTGCACATTTGAAATGCAGCGAGCAATTTATATCTCACCATTTTCTATTCCGTCTAACCAGTTTCGCCCCATCCATTTTCTCAGCAGCAATTCTGATATCCACTTGGGCCCTGCTATGAAAGAATAGCTAACCTATCTCCTCAATTTTGTAATTAATAAACAAGGAAAACCTAATTAACAGCAAGAAAAGCAATTGTAATGCTGATTGTGAAGATGAGAGATCTTAAGGGAGGAACTTTGACCAGGTGGATGGCCTTTGGGTTACCATTTGCGTTTCAATATCGAATAACTGATAATAGGTGAAGAGAAGAGGCACTTGAAATGTCACATCCAGAGTAAATCACAGAGCTCCGGTTTGTTCGCTTCATGAGAACCTCACTTAAATGTAGAACGCCTAGTTAAGTCACATTTTCAATGTTTCTTTTTTTCAATCTTATCTTCTCTACAGCTTGGAAAGCTTAGTAACATCAGTCTTTTCTTGAGGTTATGTGCTTGTTGGTTTATAGACGTTATAATTTTGTCAACTTGGGCAGCTATTGATCCACTTACGAAACAACTCAAGATGATCGACGAGGAGGTAGATACGTAATTTTTGCATTTATCTTTCTGTCTATCTCTTTCACAAGAGCATTTTTTTTCTTTTGATCGCTCGTGGAAAGGGCTCTGGTCCATTTATTAATCTAAAGCTTCTACACTTTCTTCCACAGGCTGAAGATAATGACGATGATGTTACGGAGGAGCTGCTGATTCATCAATGCACTTCTAAGTATTACGTGACGTGGATGATGTCGATCTGCGGATTCAAAGGGATTCTATTGATTTTTGGTGTTTTCCTGGCCTGGGAGACAAGAAATGTTACCTATCCTTCACTGAACGACTCCAAGAACATCGGTTTAGCAGTCTACAATGTATTCATGTTTTCGTGCTTAGCTATTGTGACTGAATTCGTGGTGACCTATCCACCTCTTCAAATTTTGGTTGTAAGATGTATCGTCTTCGTTGGGACCACGTCGACAATTTCTTTGTTATTTGTTCCAAAAGTAAGAGTTTGACTTATTTTTTCACAATCCTATTCTCAGTTTGCTTTATCGTAAATTAAGTCTCGGAGTTAAATCTCTTATCATAATGAATCGATTTTATTTGTGAGATGTTGTCTGGGAGATAGAGGGGTTAGCGAACTGTTCAAGAAAAATGCATGAAAACATCTTCATCTACATCAAAAAGAACGATAAATGGTCTTGACTACATCCTGCAAGGAGGAATATGCTCCAATCTTCAGGCGAGGTGGAATCATGCTCGAAATTATCCTCACTGTTGATGCTCTAAAGGGGCATTTTGAATGTAACCCAGGGTGCCTTGAAACAATTAAATCCAAGGTATGATGAAAATTAAATGTGATACCAAATTGATTTGCAGTGACTTGAAACTATTTTGTTTGTTGGGTGTCCAGTGAAAGATTTTGTGTTCTTTTACGGACTGTAAAATGACATCTGGCGATTTTGTATAGGATGTTTTGCAAACACCATCGGCAGTCTGAAAATCAAACCCACTAGAGAATTGGGACTGAACAATATATTAAAACGATAGACAGGCTCTTATCATACAATTAAATTTTCGTTGTTGCTGTTTTATGTTTTCACAGATTCTACGCTTAAGGAAACAGAATCAGATAGATTCAATGTCTGTCACAGAACCAAGCCGGAGTGAGTTTGAAACACGCGGGGCGACTAATTCTGAAATGCGAATAGAGACGTACAAGAGCAAAAGCTAGATCTCGCACTAGATCTCGTAGGACTCCTAAAGATCTCCGACGAAGGGAAATCATCAGTGGATGGTTAAAGTGCAATTTTCATGAGCCAAACTTGAAAAGTTGAATTAAGTATATAAAATGTTCGACGTCTAAATGGATCAAGAACGGTTTCTTCATTCAGGAATGGTTCGACAGCTCTTCCCGCCTCACTTGTGTCGAACCAAATTCAAAAATCAATCTAAACTATTTGAAAGAAGTTCTCCAGGATCAATAAAGAGAACAGCTGCGCCGACCGATCAAATTCGATGCTTGAATCAGCAAGTCAAAGCACTTCTTTTCGAGCTTGAGTTGGTCCAAATTCGAATAACCTTCGTCTCATGAAAAGTTCGGCATCCGAACTGAATGTCATTGAGCAAGGCTGAGGATAATTTGAAAATATTTAACAGTTATCTTCGTGTAGTAAGAACAACTGCTCAGACATCACCTCTTCTCAGCTGAAGATAAGACATATGAAACGAAGTTGATAAACAATTTCGATTTTGATGGTAGAGTTTCAAATGAGCTCTTTCATGAAAATAATCGGGATCTTTCAATTTTAAAGCAGGAAAAATTTCGAGAGCCGCTACCAGACATCACTCCGTCTCTACATCTGACTCTACCCACACTGATGCATTCCTTTTTGCCTAGGGTTGATTTTTCAGTAATTCTCACCATCTCAATTTTTTAATTCTGTACAAGAATTTTCCTAGATGTATAATTTGTATGTACTGTGCAAATTTTACGATAACAACATCATCTTCAACAAAATCATATGAAAATATACATAAAAATCAATAAACATATAACAATTTTTATTATTAAACTCTTATTCTATTAAGAGGCAATTACATCTGAAAGGATGCACGAAGATCACCGCTCGTAGCAAAAAAGATGACATGCAGCTGATTCCACGGCGCATGCACGCAGCAATGAGCTAAATTTGAACAGGATCCTTTGACACAACAAACGTGACTGTTGGGAAATCCTTATTAGTAGCCTCACAACTAAGGTTTTTTGTGACATCCAATATCGTATCCTGCAGTTAATCGGAGTAATCATTGGAAATTTATAGATTACAAATTGCAAATGCAAATAGAGATATTTCCCCCATGAACGGCCGCAGCTGCTTCTTTATTTTGTATCGACAATCATCTATTCTATCGCTTGTTTTTTTTTCAGGCTGATACTTTTGCTTTTGCTTCAGTTTTTAAGAAATAGTTGCTTTGTGAATGAAGAGAACTTACTGATTTTATAACTAACCCTAGTTGATTTAAACTGCCACTAAGATACGTCTTTTTGCTGTAATCGAATTTCTCGTTTATAATTCAGCTAGTATACTTTTCACATTAATCGCAATTCAAGACCAATTTAGCTTGACAACTGAATATAATGACTTTATGCCAGGCCATGTGACGGCAGATAGCTGAGCTATATTACAAGTAATTTATCGACTAACCAATAGATATGAAATTGACACTTGAAGCTTTACTTACCACGTCTTGACTTCCTTTAATTAAAAACGTTCGGATGAAATTAATTGACCAATCTAAAGGCGACAGTCAGGAGGAACTCAAGAAGAATTTAACAAGTTTGATTGACAGCCTGTCCTGCCTGTTAGACACGTCAAATTTAATTTACCAGTTGAGAGCGTGGGCTAGAGTCCTTATCACCTTGAGCTGTTCATTCAACTTAGAGTGAAATAAGTATTGGCAACCACTAAAATTTGCAAAGAAGCGTTGATCTTCATTAAGATAAGTCGGATTTAGCTGACTCCTCACCGCAGTTGAAGAAAAAAATCCTGCCTTCTCATCAATTTGGGTAGTTTGTCCTTTGCTTTTCACAATTATTAGGTGAGTATTGAGTAGTTGGATGTTTTGCCTTCTCGTCCTTCATGTTTTTGTTTTTAGAATTTTACCAAGGTTTTAAGGCTGACATAACACTCTTCCACAATATTCCACAACATCCTCGCGATCTTCAATACGTATCGTTTTCTAGATTCTCTAAAGCTAGCAAAATTTCGCTTCATAAACATCTATACTGCAGATCTAAACCCTTCCGTTTCGAATTGGATCTAAAAGGAAGACCGTAATTACGCAACACGTAATGTAATAACACTGTTGTTTATCGATACATCCTGAACGTGTTTTCCTGAGCAAGACTGCTTCCCATCGCAATTTGTTACGGAGAGGATTAATTATTGCTGTAGTTTAGAAGTATACAGCTACTTCTGCAGAAACGTGTTTGTCGCGATTTGTATTTCCGCTGTTTGTTTAAAGACGCAAAGGTTTGTCCTTCGGCTCTGTCGATTCAGGACCGTTTTTGCGTGAACCGTCGATTTTCTGGTTCCATGTTTAAGTTAGTTACCGGCTCAGAGACAGTTCCAATGAATTACTACTCCCCTCAAAATCATATTAATGTTCGACTTAACAAATTTCGTTAAGAGTTTTCAAATTTGTGCAGACAATTTTTAAACGAAAACAAAGTTTCATCCTTGTTTGATTGTAAATTTGACTATTACTTCAAATCTTGAGAAAATTTATCAAATAAACGCAGACATAAAATTAATGATGTAGGTAACCCCGCCTCCTATCCACAGTTGGCGATCAAAATTACCAGATAATAATTTTTTCAGGCGTGTGTTATTTGGAGATAATCTATGTCTTTATTATGCTAAAGTCTGCCGGATCATCGTTTAACGTGATGTCAAGTTGTTGGAAAATTCATTGTGATGTTTCGTGCGTTACAGATGAAGACAGACAGCACATTCGGAACCAAATAAACCAAAAGGACAAGAACTAATATGACATTCCGAATCAGGCCTTTACACAGTTTCATAAATATAATATTTTATTCCGAAACGCGTTTTCTCGACTTTTAAGTTGCAATGGCTCAACTAGTGTTGTATAGTTCTGATACATTTTACACAAAGCAGGCAAATTCGCAAATTTCAAGCAGGGATTTTCCTTTTATTCTAAGCCTATTCTATTCTATTCTATTCGTTACGTTATATGTAACAAAACAGTGAATCCAAGGACCTTTACTAGGTACTTTGGACATGTTTTTCTGCTTAGGTGTTTTCGTGTGAAGACCCAGTGGGAGACATTTTAACTTGCTAATTGACCAATAAGAAGGAAAATGAAGAGTCAGGATCTTATGAAAAAATATCCAACTTTGAAGCGCGACTGACAGTTTACGGATAAGAAGGTAAAAAGCCATGTAGCCCCGCAAGATGCGAGCTGAAAGAAGAGTCAGATGGGCCAGATAGGAAAATATTTGGCCCTCAGTTAGTTGCTCGCTGAATCAAGAACAGTTTGCGCTAATTCGAGGGGAGTGGGCGAAAAACTCATCAAATCACTCAACACTTGTAATAAGTGCTCTCTCCAGCTAATTGCATCATGCAAAAGCAAGAATTTCAATTGCTAAGTTGGTTTAGAGGCATACATCGTCATTTGTAGTTTTGTCATTTGTAGTTGTTCCAGTTTGCCATTTCAAAGGAAAAAACAACCGTCCTTCTCTCAAGGAAAATTGTCTTCTTTTAACTGTTTCCAAGGAAGTGAAAATCAGGTACTTCTTTCATTTGAATACTTGTATTTTTTTCTACAATTTTTAAGCGTTGAAAACGAATGATTTGACATTATATTTACCCACAATCTTTGTTCCAATCAAAGTATTTTGACTTTACAAAGACTTCGACAACACTGACTCCTGCTTATTTTCTTCCATCCAAATCGATCCTAGAAGCTTCAAATCCCTTAGGCTAAATCGCAGGAAAATCTTTTTGATAAGACAAGCAAACGAAAGTAAATATGGTTGACATAAATATTCAGTTTTAGTGATGATTCATTGCTAAGGCTGGTTGAAACAGGGAAAAGAAGGTTATTCTGGAGAAATCTAAACTTCGCTTATTCTCGGACGTGTCAAATTTCTGAGCTTTTTCTTCTCTGTGTGAAAGCAAGCTGTTTTTAGGGTGAGCCGCTCGTTGCTCAGTGCAGTTATGGTTTCGTGACATGTAGAACGGGGATTAATGCATATCCGGCTTATCGCATCAGAAACTTCTCCATTTTCAGAACTAGTAGATACTAAAAACCAAGTTACATTAAATATTAATTCCTTTTTAAAAATTGTAAAACAATTAGGGGAAATCAAGGAAACTCAGAACTTTTAGGCCGAAACGTGAGCTTGAAATGGTTGCACATAGATATGTAAATATTCATCATTGAAAGATGCCAAATTCAAGCATCAAAGCTGCCTATTTCATTTCGAGTATTTCCTCAATTGTGTCGTCTTTGTTACCAAAATTTGGAATGAAAAAATCCCTGATAGTTAGGCTGGTCTTCATTTGCCAAAACAATAGCAATTTTTTTAATTAGAAATATAGTTGGTGAGTCCTGTCTGCCATGTCCGTTGGCAAAAACACTTTGGATGCTATTTTTAGCCTACACTTTGCCGTCATTTTATAAAGATAAAAGTCCATATGTAATGGGTGTTTTCGAAGAGAGGCACATGTCAGTTCGTAAATAATAGGAGCGAACACTTGTTAGCAGTTTCTCTTTTATATGAAACGTTCGAAAGTTTTAACTCCTCAAGAAGCAATTAAGCTGTGTGGAAACTCATATTTGCCATGCTTTGAAAATAAGTGAAATTTACGCAGAAGCTACTCATCAGTGAATTAAAGTTAAAGGCAACTTTTTGAAAAAATGTTTAAACTGACCTAGGAGTACCAGCTGACCGAGTTGTCTTCTCTTCCGGGTGTGAGAGTTCCTGAACAATTCATCTTCGGCAGTAGCAACTGATATTTTGACATCCTGAGCGGAAGTCATCATCAGAAGCAAATAATGACTTCTGCTCAGGGTGTAAAACTGTCAGTCACTGGCCTTGGAACAATTTCAAATTTTTTCAGGACTTTTCCTTTTCTTCTTAATAGTCAGACCACAAGATGAAAAGTGAGACCTCTCCGTTAAATACGAAATGAAAAATAGCCTGAGAGAGTCTTCGGATTAACCACATTTATTTTATGACATCTAGGATGTAAATGCGCCAGTGAGATTTCAAATAATATAGAAGTAATTCGTACAGTCTACAAGTAATTTAGGGTAAAGCGGAGAGTACTTGGACAAATTTTTAGTTTTTCGCGGTAGCAAAATTATAATTAGTCACGACACGATAGAACCTCGACCATATATCCTTCAACAGGAAGTAAGGAAAATTTTGGCCTGTATTCTCGATCATTATTGTCATTTTGAAAACTAAACAACCAGAATAATAAGTAAATTGTAAATTCAAACACGACAGACGACGGAAGACTTTAACATGCTATTCTAAGCTTCAAATCAAAGCAGGAAGTCGCAAACCAAGTGGCCATGGTTATGGGGAGCATAAGGTGAGCATTACATGTAAATATCAATTATTATGACTCACAAATTTAATGCAATGTTTGCACTTGCCACTTGCACGTGCCTTAATGTAGCTTTTAAAACGAAAAAAACTCATGATTCCTCCTGTCTAATTTCCAAATAACAATCAATTTGAGAGCGGACTTTATGGCCTGCTACAATATTGTGGGTAAGTTATGTTTAGGAACAAAAATGAACATTTGTCGAGATCTAATTAATCTTTTTTATAATTTTTATCGTTTGCACATGATTGTCAAAGGGTGAAAAATATGCTCACAGTTGTATTTATGCTTCTTAAAAATGAAGCCCAGTATTTCTGGATTGATTCAAAAAGGTTTGTGCGCTTCGGGAGTCGATGAAAGTAATATTACAAATGAACGAAGAAAACTTCAACAAACCAATTGTCTCAAACCCGAAAGTAGATGACGTTAACTAAGGAAGCGATACTGTCATAAAAAAAAAAAAAAAAAGATTTTTTCACCAGCAAAAAGTTTCCAATAATTTTCTTTTAACGTGGATCCTTGAATGCTGTACTGTACGGGGGCTTTGGTTGGTGGTATGTAATTCGTAAATAAAAAGGGAATCTACCATAATTATTCATTACACCTAATGCACGTTAGGGAAACAAAAACTCGACACGATTAAGATATGGTTATTGCTACAAATTGTGCTTCAGTTTCTTTCCAAAATCTCCTTTGCTAGATATATTCCAATTGTTTGAGGAAAACACATACTGAGAGAAAATTGGCCATACTTGTGCGGGGGAACAATGATAGCTTATAACAGGAAGAAAACATAATTACAGCTTTACCCCTGTAGTTCCGTGTTGTTGACATTATTTTGATTAGCACAAAGTGTATAACTCTTTATTATTTTTCCTTTTTTATTTGTAATGAGAGAGAGATGGTCAGTGTAAAAACATAGGCCAAAAAAAATCAATTCTGTTTGAATTTTAGGCGAAGACAAACTGATCCTCACTTGATATTTATCCGTATTGATTAGAGTTTCAAACCCACACATTGACAGGAGGATGATTGAATTGCATAATCCAATCACAAATAGGTAAACCTTATGTAAGTCAAAAACAACTCGAGGTCATTTTTATGAAACGAAACCATCGTCATAGCAGCATTGAATATGAAAGATATAACGTTTTCAAGGACTTGCTACCCGATTCTTGTGATTCAGCGAAACAAAACAAACATTAGGCTGTTTGAACTGTTTTCAGAGTCTTAACAATCGCGAAAGAGAGAGAGTTTACCTCTTAAAGAGTATGAGAACTCAACACCTCAAGTAATTACCACCTAGAATTGAAAAATATTCACCGAATCATTACAGAAGGAAAAAGCAGGTGATAGTAAGGTTTAATGTTATACTTAAAATCAAGTACCTACATAGAAGAAACAGATCAATAATATTTACCCTAAGAAAATGAGCCACCATAGTGCTTTGTCAGACAATGTTATTTGTGGAAAATGCTACACACAGTCTTTGAAAAACTGATGCACGATTATAACATCTATTTGATTTTCGTTTGTTTTGTGCGAAAACCTCTCTCAGGGTTACAGTTTTGAGAAGCTTAATCTTGATATCTGCCAACAAAGAAGCACAGAAAATCAAGACACAGAATTGTCTTTAAAGTCACAAAGGTGAATATTTGCATCAACCCTCGGTTGGCTTAAGCGTGTTTTGAACCAACCAATCTCGTCTTTCTAGTTCTGTTGGACCATTTTTCAAGTGATCCCATCGTCGAGAGCAAGAATGAATGAAAATGTTTGAGTAGCCATTAAGTATTCAAAGTAAGGGTATAAACAAAGCCTTCTAGGGATTTATAATAGCTGAGTTATTAGTGCGAGTTATATCTATAAATTTCAGTTTTTTTTTTTGAGAATGGTCTTCAAGTTATCTCCGCTATTTTCCCGTGTTTCTGACGCCAATAAGAATTTGTTTAGATTAAATCTTATTCGAGCATCCCTATCGTCAAAGTGAGAAGAAAAACATCTTATCTGACTGGAGAGTCCGCTGAAAAAAATTAACAGAGCCAAAACTCATAGGAGATTGCTTTTGTCTGGATAAGCCCACCCGTGTACAGCGGTCATTATGACTAGTTTATCGTACGGTCAGGGCCACTGAATATGCATATTGCCTTAGTGTGACAAAAACTGAAACCGACCCTGTGGGTAATTTCTAATTTAGTTCCACTATATAAAATAAACCTCCACATATGAGAATTAATTCAAATAAACCTTTACACATAATACTTTCATATTGTTTGGACACCGAATCAATCATGTTTGATACTACAAAAGTCTCCTTTAATCGAATACACATGAAAAAGTAGACATAGATTACTTTAGATTCGTCGAAACATTTTTAATGAAAAAAGGATATCACCACCGGTGCACACAAGTGTAACGATTTAGCGTGAGTTTGTTTATTTGACAATAGCTTTTCTTCAGAATATGGACTTAAAATTTGGACTGGCTTTGGATTCGATGTCACGCATATGAAACCGAATTTAAATCTGCGGTAAAAATTATTTGGACATTTTTCAGAATTTAAATAATGCGTTCGAATAAGAGTTCAAGGTCTTATGCCTTTAATATATTAAATCTGTGTAAAAAAACAATGATCTAAGAAAACTAATTTCGACTATAGTCTTGAAATTTCGACTGTTAAACAAATGTTCACAAAACAAATTTTCACAAGATGTAAAGTCCATTAGTTGTGTGTGTTTAAGCCATATTCCGAGAGAACTTTCTTGCAGATAATTCTATAAGTCTGGGTATTTTGCCAATAGCAATAAACAATTAAAATATTGTATTCTGTCTGCAGCCGTCAAAATTATTAAAAACTCTCTATCACACTTGAGTATTTGAATAGGCTTCGTATTAATAGGATATCTCCGAAACCATTTCTCAAATAATCAAGCCTCGCTTTCCAAAAGGTGAGTGCCTTCAAAATCATATTCAAAGTGGTCTTGTTCTTGCTCATTCAAAGACAGAACTAAATTCTTGCTTGTTAATGTAGATGTGGGAGAGAAAACACTGAAAATTTGTCGTGCTGTGTATCCTACACAACCAATAATAAGCTGTCTCTACACGTTATGTCTCGCACGCTATACGAGACATCATGATGGCGAAGATTTTCTTTTCCACTGATGCAAAAATATCATCATCTTATTGGCCCTGGCCATGCCGTATTCTTCTGTACTAACAATTTGGGTTAGGGTTAGAGTAGTTCGATGAAAAGATAAAGTCACGAGTTAAATAAAGGGCGACTCATATTCGTACAAAATACAAAATACATCATGGATATTCAGTTTGATTTCTCTTTATATGATAGTGCCTATTTTCTTTTCGCAAAATCTGGTGTTTTCGGACATAAACAGTACTCGTACTGATTATTTATCGGCAAAACGAAAAATGCTTTTAGGATTTATCAGATGGGGTGCTATAATAATCTCAAATAACAAAAATATTCTTAAAAATTCATTTATTATACAGGTCACGAATAATGAAAATCTCTGAAAGCATGCCTTATATGATTGTTCACCAGTTGTTGCAAATCCAAAAGCGTATGTTTCAGAAGAAATTATTTCAAGAACCGGTCAGTTTTGTGAGAGAAACCCGATTGAACCGAAGCTAGTTTATTTCTAGGCATTAAGAGCATAATTATGTGCAAATGTCATTGTGAATGTCAGCTTTTGCAAAGTCCTCAGCGACAAGATTAAATATTTATTCGCCAAGAAATGTATTATATAATCCCACCATTTGATTGTTAACTTTCTTTTATTTGCAATATCATTGCAACACAAGTCAAAATGCATCAGACTTCAACTGTATTTTCTTATCAAAACCGCCCGACCGGAATTCCCGTCGGAAAATTTTTTTTGGCCACTCACCTTTGGTTCCCGAGAGAGCCTCGACGTCATTCTACTGATGCCACGATAAGCCTTTCACTTTTCAAAGCTTCTGCCTGGTTTAGGAAAAATTAAATAACAAAAGGCTCTCCACTAGGGGCGTGTTTAATGGAAGGTTGCGTTAAAAAGGTTGAAAAATAGGAATTTTTTTACAAAATATCGCGGTAAATTATCGAGACCTGATGTCTTTCTTTTTACTTTCCTATGAATTAGATCGATTTGGAGGAGACAACAGTATATCAGGATTTTAAAAAGTTAATGATCAAAAGGATTCAGTGAAACACTGAGGCTGAATTTGACTGAACGAAACGTAGCTTTGAGTCACACTCGCAAACACATCTGCAACCGCGGAACTAAACCATCAACTGCTTTCTGGTAAGTAAACTTACTTTTACTATGACGATTAATGATATTATTTTAGAAAACGCTCTACTAAGCTTTTAATTGAACGCTTTTATAAGATTGTCTATAACCTTCTGGCGGACTATCGATAAAAATTTTAACTTTGAGTGCGGATGGTATATTTGATGCGTGAGCGAAGAACACGAATCTGAGCGGGGTGAAGGTCGTACCCTAAGGAGACAGGCAACGTCTCTCTTACTCCATAAATATTGGTCGCATATTCAATTGAAAATAAACGATATCAATTGAAGAAATTGACAATCTACGTCAAATAAATTTTTATTTGAATTTTAAGCACTTTGGCAAAGTGATAAGCGCCATATTATAATTTCTTCTCTGCCATTGCAACACGAAACTGTCTAAAGGTATATGTAGCATGTTTAGAGTGAAGATATCTTTTTTAAAACCATGACATATAATGCTAATTGAACTGAGTGGAGTGCGATTTTGGTCTGAAATCATACGAGTGATTTAAAAAAACGAACGGGCGCGCAGCGTGAGTTTGATTTGAAATCACATGTACGATTTCAGATCGACCAAAACTGCTTAGCACTAAGTTCAATTATCACTTTATTGCATCCATTTTTAAACTACAAAATTCAGTCGCTTAAATACAGGATTTTTTTGTCTGTACAAATGTTTTACTGGTCTAGTCCTGAGCTGTGCAAAAGATGTTTTTTATCTTCCTCTAATTTGATTGGTTTCTTTAAACAAGCCTTGAGATTTGATTGGTTGTTGTGTTTTGGTAGTGTTCCTCATTGGCTGGGAAAAAGATGCGATTTAGAGCAAAAAATCATACGATTCGTGAATAAATCGCAACGATGAGAGCCAATCAGATTGCAAGGATCACCAGAGATTTCAAAATGGATTTAATAAATCTCGTTGTTGTTTTCATTATTTATGGTTCAAAAGGTTCATCAAACACTTTCCGTCGAATATTTTTCGGAAAGTAACTTCCAATTAAACTTTATAAGATTCCTCTTTTCAGGTTAACTCACTTTAATGCGCCTCGGAGCCTTAAAATATTTCATTTTTAGTAATGGGGTAAGTTTCTAAAGAAACTGTGGTGCTGCGTCGGTGGGAGAGTATAGCAGGTAATTTAGTGTTAACAACTGGGTTGAAAACGTAAATTAGCCACCGTAAAGAGTAAAAAAGCTGACGTTTCGAGCGTTAGCCCTTCGTCAGAGCGATTAGAGGAATTGTGGGTTGTCCTCTAATCGCTCTGACGAAGGGCTAACGCTCGAAACGTCAGCTTTTTTACTCTTTACGGTGGCTAATTTACGTTTTCAACCCAGTTGTTAACACTAAATTACCTGCATTTTTAGTAATACCGCAAATTGCCGCTAATAACGTTTCGACGCTCAATAGAAAACCCTTTGTGATCAGCACTTTTACATCTTGTTTCGAAGCACTCTTTTCATTCTGGTTATAAGCCCTCTCGGATGTACACCCTTCCATATATAAGCTCTCCTAAAACCCCTTACGAAGTTGTATAAGCCTAGGGCTTTTCAGAGGAAATTTAGGGTATTTCAATCACACCATATGGGCACCTGTCACCGCTAATTTACACTGTTACGCGAAGGTTGGCAGTGGACAGATAATTTTCTTTTCTCTTCTTGAGGAGAAGAATTAAGTCCGAGGATTGTCATTATTATGTTTCTTTCGACGGATTTTCAATCAAAACGAGAAAAACTGCAGTTTGCGACTCACTGCACCAGTCATTTTCTGTGAAGCCGGGGCTGGTGAGTTCCATGTCCACCAGCAAATAATTCTCATAAAGCCTTGTTTACATCACGAGCTCGCCCGCCTCACTTCAGAAAGTAACTTTTTGCGCAGGAAGACGGGCTGAATTTATTAATGATTTTTCTGAAGTTCTCCAAGTACTTATTGGAGATCATGAAAGTAACATAATGGAACATTTCCGAATTACAAAAACCGTTCGTGTCAAAAGCAGACAGTGCAAATCATTTTTTTTGATAATGAGTTTTGTCTTCAATAATCAAAAATTTATGTTCGTGTTTAAAGTTATTACTAATGTTTCAAAACAGAGACTGGACACACGTCTGAAAAGGCCGATAAGATTAAGCGTGGGACGGTCTCCGTCTTTTTAGCTTTGGCATTCTTTCATTGCGTTGATTTAACGCGTAAATTTCATAAACCTCTCTGTAATTCAGATGTGCATAAGATATTCATGAAATTTTTCCATGACTGCAGCTCTGCGTTACTGTTTCAAAGAAACCGAATACCATGTCCAGCGGATTTTTTCACGTCACCTGCTTACTCTACTGCATCGTCCTGACTTCTTTTACCAAATGTGACAACACTACGTCCAAAATCCCCTTATACATTGGTGGATTTTTCGGGGTAAACATTCAAGAAGGGGCTTGGAGCACAGCTGAAGTCATTCCATCTCTAGAAATGGCACTGGAGCATGTGAACAACGACCCAAGCATTTTGGTGGACTATCAGCTGAAATATGTGTGGAATGATTCTAAGGTTTGTTCAGCGTATATGACTAGTACAAAAATTAAAAATAAAGTTAATATTTATCTGTCATTTTCTTGCTTCCATTGCTTAAGTGTGAAAGTGGATCTGGTATCAAAGCTATGCTTACGATGATCGACACTCCACCGCACAAGATTGTTTTCCTGGGTCCCGGATGTTCTGTAGCAACAGTACCTGTTGCAGAAGCCGCTCCGTATTGGCAGGCAGTGCAGGTAAATTTCACAGTATGTGGGGTTTTTATAATGACTACGCTCAGTCTGGAGCCCGTGATTCTATTCTCTTTGGAGGTTTGCAATCTCGTGGGCCTTTGGTATATTGCTTCAGCTTGCAATTTCCTTTTAAAATTTAGCAATTTCGTCTCTGTCAGTTGTTTGACGGCAAATGACTTACAGGGATCACTTTGCCATTTGTAATCAACCAAAGGTCAAAATATTTTATAAATTTTACTTATTCGTGTACGTGCAATTTAACATCATCGATAATTTGCAGTGATAGCTTTGTGATATTATTTTGTTTACTTGAACGATAAGAATTGTATGTCGTAGATAAGATTATTTTGCTACAGTTTAATGGCTTGCTTGATCTCATTGCATAACTACGTACGTCAATTTCCTCTCAACTGCAGGTTCTTTGATTCGTTTTTCCGCATTTTTATGACATCGACGAAAAGAAATGCTGTCTTTTCACTCTTCTTAGATTGGATACAGTACATCGTCGCCACAGTTCTCAGACAAGGAAAAGTTCCCTCTGTACTTTCGAACTAGTACCTCAGAAACAATGGAAAACCCGACCAGAGTAGCACTTTTAGAGCAATTCAATTGGAAAAAGGTCGCCATACTTGTGCAAAACTTGGATATTTTTGTATGGGTAAGAGGCTCAATACTGCTAATAATGCAATTATTATAGTATATATAGAAAGAAAGTTTCTTTAAAGGCACTACATGAATCAGATGAACTAAATCAAGAAATACAATCAATGGACTCTGATTTCAGACAACAAAAACAGTAACAACGACAAAATATTCCAACGAAGAGGCCATAAAAAGAAGAGAATGTTAAATACCGATGGTTTGATTTTCTTTGTTATCATTTCTATACCAATAGACAAAAGAAGACCTCATTCCATTGTTAAACAAGTCGAACATCTCCATCATTGCAACAGAAAGCTTCAAATATGATCCATCCTCATCGGTTAAGTACTTAATCAAGGTTAGATACGCACCATCCATTCAAAGTTCATAGCGCTGAGCCTAGTGTGCATTAAGTTTGTTTTCGTGGATTACCAGATCTTGCTGGTGTAACAGAGAGACGAAACGGAAAAGACCCCTGGCTGATATGATAGATACTACTATAACAGCCATTACAATAGCCGAATGTGTACAATTGAGCGTCAAATAATTATCCGAGGTTGCGTTGCTTTTCTATGAGGATAAGGAGGGTTTCTTATTCCGAATTTTAAAAGTAATTAACGCGTCATGCAAATAAAGGTTTCAGGGAAATCTTGAGGTTTTCACGAGTCACGTCTATTTTCGGAGAAAATCACGCCTCACGCTGGTTCTTAAATTCACGAATCACGCTCGCCTTTCTGTAAAAAAGTTTGGTCTTAACCACGTGTCAAGTACAAACCTTTTAGCCACCCTCTTGTTTTACTTCGCTTGTGATTGGTCTAGTAAGCTGGCGCCACTTTCTCAACCAACCATAAACTAAACTAAAAGTAATCACCGTTTGGTTACCCATGTTTTTCTACGCTCCAGTCAGTTTGCTTTAACCACCTTAAGCTCTTTGTGGCTTCTCATAAAGTATTTCTTTATTGTGATTGGCCCCCGATAACTTTGGTGTTGGTTTACTTTTCTAGATTGAAATCTCTGTGGCCTATTTTTACCGCCAGATTTCTTTTTCTTGGTCCTCCTTGGAAATTTGCCTTCTCTTTAGATCAATAATAAGGGAAGAAACAAAACACTGTTTGAATAAAATTGAAATTGAAGTTCTAATGAGCGTGAGAATGAGATTTTAACTCTTCGCCCAAGAGTATCATTTGGCATTTCGCTGACAAGCGGATGTTTGTGTATGTTAGTGAAGTACCTAAAAAATTCTTTCTTACAAGGATAAAGATGCTAGGATTATCATTGGACTGATGTACGAGGACATGTTCAGAAAAGCTATGTGCGCTGTGAGTGTACTGACAAATTATAACCAACAATTAAGAGAAATGAAAAAAAGGGGGTAAGTTTCTAAAGAAACTGCGGTGCTGCGTCGGTGGGCGAGTGTAACAAGGTAATTTTGTATCATCAACTGAGCTGATAACGTAAATTGGCCACCATTAGGAGTTTCAAATCTGACGTTCCGAGCGTCAGCCCTTAGTTAGAGCTCGAGACGTAAGCTGTAGAAACCCTCTAAGATGGCCAATTAACATTATCTTCTCAGTTGATAAAACCAACTCTTATTGGCCATAACAAGGTAATTACGCTGTTACACTCCCTCGATACGTGGTCAGATAAAATTTTCAATCACAGTTTCCTTGAAAAACTCCCTTAATAGCCATGAATATTAAGAGTTTTTTACCGGAAACCTCCTGCTTAAAATATGTCGTTTTTAATGCTCTATGGCGGAAAGTTTTATATCAAACTAATAATTGTATGTAGCTGGTAATCTTCACCGACTCTGGGTTTTACATTGCAAATTCAAAGTATGGCGGGAGGCACTGAACACCTTTAACTGATATCCTGCTATAATCTCTATTCATAACAGGCCTACAAAGATGGACTCTTTGGAAAGAAGTATGTTTGGATAATAGTTGGATGGTACTTGGAAGACTGGTGGACAAAAACAACAGAAGTGGGCATGGATTGCAGGGGAGAACAGCTCTTGGAGGCTGCAGCTAATTTGATTGAGACTTTTCCTCTTCAACTGAGTAGATCAACAAGACCCACGATATCGAATAGGGTAAGGTTCTAGTCGGTATTAATCGCCGGGGGTGGGGTTACATGATTTTCAGGGGGGACGGAGTGGAGATTAGTCGTTGCCCACAGAAAATAATATTACTCAACTCTCCCCTGAATAGGATGGCGGTCCCTCGCAAGGTTACCCTTTGTAGTTTATTAGTCTTCCCTGACTATGCACCAGTATCCGTAAGCCAGCGCACTAATGATTAGTCCACCCACCCTCTCGTATAGTTTAAACCGGAATAGTCTCAAAAGGTAAAGACCAAGTTACTGCCTGAGCTTTTACAGAGCATATGTAAAAATCGTTTTGCTCTTCTTTACCATCCCTTTTCAGACTGCACAGCAGTTGCAAGCTGAATATGATGAAAGACGACGGCGCCTCAACTACACTTATCACATGTACGCAGGCTTCACGTATGATGCAGCATGGAGCATCGCTGTTATGTTGAACAAATCCATACCTCGGTTACGAGCAAGAAATAAAACACTGGAAACCGTCAAATATGGTGATAAAGAAGTAGCTGAGATCATGACGGATATTTTGTTCCGTACAGACTTCTGGGGAATGTCAGTATGTAAAGTAGTCCTTGTTTAAGCCTCAATAACACTTCACTTTTTTATGGATTTTCCTTTTCAATTTGTCGAATATACGAGAACTTAAAGAAAAAAAACAGAACAAAAGATTTATTGGGGTGACTCGAAATGTCTCAATGAAATTCGCATACCAAAGTGAGAGGGTCGCCGGTTAGTTCGATGCCTGAAAAAGACCCCTTTTTTTGTTTGGTAGAAGAAAAAGGATAAGGAAAAGGAAACTTCCAAGCCTTAAACGCGGGTTCCCTCTCTGATGGCAAACTTCATATCAATGTCACTAGCAAATCCGGTTTAAGACAAATATAATTCTGACAACTGCCCTTATTCTTAGACCGATATACTACAGCTCTTACGACAAAAACCTTGTCCTGCAATTCTTTCAGGGTCGCGTGAAGTTTGATAAAGATGGAAACAGAGACACTCTTGTAGAAATTTTTCAAAATAAACGTAAGTGAAAAATTATTGTATATTAAAAAAAATTTCGCGATAAATAACAACGCGGTAGAGTAGCACTGCATTTCATTGTAGTTGTATCAGTATGATGGCTGATGTTTTGACCGGAAACTCTGTTTTCTTGATGGAAGCATTGTTTTTTTTTTTTCATTTCAGGTGGTAAAAAGAAAATTGTGGCCACTGTGGATTCCCTTGGTAGGAATCTGAGTCAATACAAAGATAAGTTTGAGTGGGAAGGTAAGATCGAATTTGATGGTATGGCAAAATTGCACGACTGAAATCATGGGTTTTTACCGACATCTTAATTTCCAGCCACCATACGTTGTGATCTAGTTATGAGAGACATTGTCTTGTGGTAAAAGGACTGGAATACAATGGAGTAAAATTCAGGGATCGAGTATTTTGATCAAAATTTGAATTAGGCCAACAGTAATTTTAATTGAAACATCCACTCCTTCAAGAACGGTGTACATTAAAAATCACTCAGATTTAAGTTGAGCACAAAACACTAAAGGATAATAAAGATGAAAAGTGAAACCTTGAGCTTTCTCTTTTTTGTCGTAAGCACTGTCTCTTTTCGACGGAAATAATCAGAGGACAAATATAGACGTAGACGTGGGGGTTAGTGCGCGATAACTGTTCAGTTTTTTGTACCATGTGACGTAGAATTAGCCAATAGAAACGCGAACAAATTAATAGGTGGGTTATAACACTTGAAATTTTGTCTGTTTTCTGATCTCACCTAGCGAATTTTAGAATATTTGCTTCATCACTAAAATTTCAATTTGAAAAAGTTTCTTTCATTTTTTCCCTACAGAGGGGAAAGTTCCACTGGACGGTGTCAGAATCAATGAAAAGCAGTTTAAAGAAAGTTTCAGCTTAACGTTGATGTTCTTCCTGTTGGCATTTATTGGAGTACTGCTCTGTTTCTTTAGTTTACTTTTTAATGTCACATATCGAAAGCATCAGTAAGTAACAAACTTTGACTCATATAGTATACCCTCAAGTTTTAAGACCAGCATTTTCAAAAGGTTCCAGTGCTTTCTGAAAGCGAAGGAACTCGTTTAAATCAGTTTTAACGCATGAAATCATCTTAAATGAGAAAGAAAGGTCCTATATTGTTACAGCAAATGAAAATAAATATTTGTAAATACTATTAAATCAAGTATACGGGAAGTAAACCCTCTTTACTTTGAGATATGTAGTTTCTGAGTACTTCCTATTTTGGGTTTAGTGATGGTTCGTGAAGATGCCTCTTTCATGCTGTCTTTCCCTCTGAAAACGCTTTGGAAAATCAAGCAACAACCACTGGTTTCACCAAATGGCGTAAAATATAGTGCTTATTACTGCTTGTCTCTGATTTACAATCTCCCGTTTGCACAGAATTTCATTCTGTAAATGCTTCAAACTTCTTTTTCCCTATAATGCTTTTGTTTATGTACCTAGGTTCATTAAAATGTCATCTCCAAAGTTTAACGATATCACCGTCATTGGATGCCTGCTGTCCTACATCGAAATGTTCTTATCAGCTTACGCTAACTCTGATTATACAGAACACGACATTTCACTCTGCTATGTAAGTATGCTCATCCCATAAATGTTAAAGGGCGCTATATAAGTAAATAAATTATTAAATTATAAATTATTATGCTTTGGAGCCTGCTCAGTTTTCCAGGTATACAGCCTTGGAACTCGAATACAACATACTTAAAGAAGAATTAGGTTCATCAACAACTTTAATCAAGTTCACAAAGCCCTTATCATATTACAGAGTACTAAGGTTATGTAAAAGCAAAATTGGTGAAAGTGTCTAAAATAAAAACGAAGGTTTAAAAGTTTCAAAAATCGTTGCTGCTGAAAAATGGCCGCGAGCGAGTACTGATCGCTGCAAGCCCGTGGGTTAAACATCAACGGTGATGGGAATTACTGGGTGAAAAACTGAGATGAAAAATATTTTTTCAATGCAACACTAAGATTAATTTTTTTTCACCCTTAGATTAGAATCTGGCTGCTCTCTACCGGTTTCACTTTGGCATTTGGTGGGATTTTCGTCAAAACCTGGAGAGTTTACAAAATATTTACAAACACCCAGATGAGGAAAGAGGTAAAGAAATAACTAAAGGACAACTCGGCTCATCATCATTGTCATGGCGGTGTCATCAGTCAAGGCAATTTTTAAATAATTGTCAAAAGCGAACCAGTATTGCCTTTGATTTGCGTTAGTATGTCTGTGATTGGTTTGGAAAACTCGCGCCATCCCGATCATTTTCAAAACATAAACCAATCGCGACTTGGTCAATTCTTTTGAGCAAAATTCTTTTAATAACAAGTGGCGCCTTGATTCCCTTGAATGCTTTACTATACAATGCTAGCATTGCTGGTAATGTGAATACTTTTGGCAGTATAATAGAAATATTAAACCTTGTACCGTTTATTTATCGTTAGGCACCATAACAGGAATTTGTTACTGTGCCTTGCACATGATTGTTTTTAGTCTTTCATACTAATGTAATTTTCATTATTTTCAGTATTTTGTAATTGCATGTGCGCATTGTAAACGAGTATACTGAATGCTCTTAGGCGTTATGTGGATAAATAAACTATCTTTCTATCTATCTACTTGCTTTGATATAGGGTCGCTTTGCATGCTTTTGGCCGTCTACCGCTCGGTCAATAAGAATGGGGTTCTTATTGGCTCCTTGTGACCATTTATTTGAGCTTCAATGTTATCGTGCAACATCGCACTCATCATTTAATGCTTTTTACTGAAATGCTTTCTATTTCCTCTTCAGCTTGGAAACTTAAGTAGCACTAGCCTCTTGTTGAGGCTATGTGTTGCTTTGTTTGTAGACTTCATTTTTTTATCAACTTGGACAGCTATTGATCCAATGACCATGGAAACTGAGAAAATCGATAATAAGGTAAATATTAACGGCAACTTTCTGTTTTTGTTTACACTCTCATGGTCGTTGTTATGCTTTTAGATAACCGGCCGTGATGATATTTGATAAAGCCAAGATTTCCATTATGATCAAAAAGCTCTGTGCTATTCAAAAAAATATTAATTAGTAATCGGTTTGAAATCTTGCAATTGTTAATCGACGCGAAACTCTTACACTCTAGGTCAGTAGCAAATCTATAGCTCCAAAATAATATGACTTTCACATTTGCACACTCATCAGAAAACTTCTCTACTCTCTAATAAAGGTTCCAAATGATGACTCCGACTTCAAGGAGCAGCTTGTGATCCATCAGTGCACCTCTTCTCACTATATGACCTGGTTGATTTCAATGAGCGGGCTGAAGGGGATCATGTTGATTTTCGGTGTGTTTTTGGCCTGGGAAACAAGAAACGTGCATTATCCTTCGCTGAACGATTCCAAGAACATTGGCTTAGCAGTGTATAACGTGTTCATGTTTTCTTGCTTAGCAATTGTGGCCGAGTTCGTGGTTTTTCCTCCCCTTAAGACTCAAGTTCAAAGATCGATCGTGTTCGTGGCGACCACTTCGACAATTGCCCTGCTATTTGTACCAAAGGTCAGAAATAACTTATAGTTCTTTGTAAATAGAAATAACAGAGATTGTAAGTTTTGAGCTCGGTAAAGAAATAGAGTGAGATGTTTTTCGTCTTGTCACGAGCGTGAGACAAGGAAAATGAACTTCGTAACAGACCTTACTCTTGCTCACCGTGGAGTCTCTGTGGCTTAGTGGTAGAGCATCGGAGCTCGGAATCCGAAGGTCTGGGGTTCGGTTCCTCATGGAGACTCAGAATTATTTTTTTCTTTCTCTCACGCTCGTGACAAGACGTAAAGCAACTTTCTCTGACTTGTAATTCCGTTACAGCAATTTTTACTCCCTCGAGACTTAATCTGACAACAAGAGATGATTAATAATGATACAGTTAACGTCGATTAGGTCACATTTACATTAGTTTACAACTAAGTCTTGAAAAACCAAAATCAAAAAAATTACAAAGTTGACATGAGCATTAACCAATGAGAACTCAAAGTAACATAATTGGAGGAATGAGATTTAATTAATTTTATAGCTTTAACGTTGGAAAGTGTAACGACATGTGATGTTAGTCATTGCTGAGCGCTGTTATGGGAGCTAGAAACGAAAAATACGTTCACAATTAAAAATGTATCATTGGTCACCGGAATGGGTTCTCTCCCTTGAATTTCGCTTTTTGAATGATAGAAACATTTATTTATTCATTCATGAAATTCCATCTGACAGGTACTTTACCTGAGGAAAAATACAGCAGTTTCCACGGCCGCCGTCCTGGAGACAAACAATGTGGCATTAGAAAATCATGGAGTGACGAATGCATCGAACTCTGTAGAAAAAGCCAAATATGTAAAAACTTGTGCAAACTAATGCTGCGGCAATTTCCGGAGACATAGGTTTATCGAAGCAAGCATCAAACCTGAAGGATCAAAAGCGAGTAGGAATGAAATGAGCCGACCTTTAAGAAGGCCGTTGCAGACCATTAATTATCAACCAAAGCTTTTAATCGAGTGTTCAAATGCAAAACCTTATGGAAGTTGCCTGGTTTGAGTTTATGGACCAGTTTTAGTGAAATCCTACTGTGGAGGAATTGAACTGCAAAGTCCCACTTATAAAGCAAGAATTAGTTCCAGGTTAAATCTAGGCCGGATGGGAGGTTATACCCATCGCAGTTAAGCTTCGAAACTAACGGACAAGTGTGGCCGTTTGTCGAAGGGGAAGGTGAAACCATAGGTTCTAAGGCAATAGTGACGAAGCAGTCCATTTTGCTAGTACACGTTACAGATTACGCTATAAAAGAGGGAATGCTCCCAGCTTACAAAATCAAGAGAAATTGCCTTTGACAAAAGACCCTTAACACACAAGAGAGTGCCTGGCTAAGATATGAACATGTACAAGCAGACCGCCTGACTATAATATGTCACTACAGTATAGAAAAATAAAATTGTCCTCAGGAACCCACGCATTTGCTAAAGTCTTATCTAGCAAAGAATCAGCAGCATAAAACCTAAATGAATTCAAGCGGATATTAAATAAATTTGACATTAACAAAATAAATTTTGACTCCAGTATTGTAGCCGTCATTAAATACAAGGACAGCAGTTACGAATATTATTAAAAACTAATTTAGATTTAAATCATCAAATCAAGTGGTGAAAATTTTTATAGCCTTTTATGGTTATGATTAGTTAAATGCACGACACCACCAGCTATGCTGAATATTTTATCGTCGTTGAAAAAAGTAATTCATTCATTCATGTTATTTATTTTTTGTGAAAATGAGCCGGCATCTTTTTAAAATGCATATAATTAGCTATTCGAAGTTATTAGTTATGGGATCTTCACGAGCTCTTACACCTCAATGGTTTTTCCACATGATCTGGTTAAGGCTAACAAGCGCCATATGTAAAAATGGCGAGTTAGTGTTTCGCTTCGCTATTTACTTTTCTCTTCCTTAAGATCGATGCGAAGGAAGACAATTGGTAAGATCTGCCGAAAAGTTAAGGAAACGACGACGGGGTTAATTGAGCCGAAATCGTTATTTAAAGGTAAAACTTGTCAACCAGAAAGCAGATGGTTCTCGTGTGCCGCCCACATAAGTAATTGAGTCTCAGTGATCGAGGTATTTTCCAAAAGGTTCTCAGTGGTACTGGCAAAACTGACAGCTTTATCCTGGAATCAAACTGTGCTAACAAGCTATCTGCTTTAAGCTTGGTGGTACACAAGTTGATATAAGATAAAAAAATACAATAATTTCCTTTTCTTATTTTTATGACAACACTTTTTGGGGGTTAAAGGTCTTTCTGATGTAAATATGGAAGCGAGCCTCGCAGTTATGAACACTACTTAAGTATTAGTGAAAATGAGCATTGTTAATAACTGCGAGGATAGCTTCCATATTCGTTTCTTCTACCGCAGTTCACATATATGATTTTCATATATTTACAGTCATTACATCACAATACAGATATATTCAGACAATGTGCTGAAACTGATTGGGGCTGACAATATTCTTCAAGGTAATGTTCACAGTTTTCTTTTCTTTCCTTTCAATACCGGCTTCTAGTTGGCTATGAAACATTTGACTATTACTTTGTAACATAAAGCTATGGAGCTAATCCATATCCAGTTACTCCAGAGTTAATCAATATACATTATCAAACAAGAAAGAGCCACTTTCTTAAACTTGTAGGCGTACAGCGAAAGCCAGGGCCAACGGCTCAATATGTTATTGCTCTGTCGTTTTCGCTTGAGGGAACAAATTAAAGTGCGCTGTAAGTGCCACGATTTTAGGTGCCACGACTTTAGCATTTCAAGTATCGTGCAGTCAAAGCTATTTATACCAAAACAACGATCGGAATTGTCAAAAGCTCTTGGAAATTAGAAACTTCACAACCTACAAAAAACGTACTTGTCAGAAAAAAGAAAACGTATATTACGACAAAACGAAATGTTACTAAGAGTGAAATTGAACATTCATTTGTATGCCAGCTTCAAAAGACAGAAGATGGTCGGTTAAACGTTGATGTATTTTATGGCCATAAAAATGCTTGCTACTCTAAAATATGTTGCTATATTCTGGACTCATGTCTAAAGGCTAAGATGGATGTTATGGCTGAGAGGTAGAGTCCATTAAAAAAGTTGTTAATAGTCTATTTCAACCTTTTTTTTATCACCTTAGGAAGAAATAAGTGGGCTAAATTGACTAACTGTGTTTTTGACAAACTGTCGGATCTTTTTGTTGTCTATCGGCTACAACAACACGCCTGTTTTTATCAAGTAAAGTCATCAAATTTAAAATTTGCGGAAGGCATTTCAAGCAATAGTTGTACCTTGACGCAATGCGCCACAATCAGATCGATGGTTTGAAATCGTATCCATGTATTCCGTACAATTTTATTTTGACTAACGAAATTCAGGAAGGTTTATTCACGAAGCTTTCCTATTGTAATAAGATGCCCCTAGACGTATTTGAAGAGTAACAATTGTTTTTGGCATTTTAATTATAACTAACGTCAAACATGTAATGTTATACGCTGTCTGGTTGAAATAATTATGTCGTGAGACATTATGGAAAAAATTAAATGTTGCTTGTATTGTGTGTCGTTAATTGTCATATTCTTGTATTATTCAGATATTCCTCGGTCTGCCTTTACAGTTACAGAGTTTCTAGCTCTTACACTGATGTGTTTGTTTTATCGGTAAAACTAATTGAAGTGAATTTGCATCACTTCGCTTTGGAGTGAACTTTGAAGTGATAATGTTGCACCGAATCTTCATAGGACATTTTCCATTTACAGCAAAGATAAAATGACCAAGAGAACAATTGGTTTATCAACCAAGGACAACGTTTTCAAGTCAAACAACGAATTTTAATTAGAATCTTTCAGATGAAGAAAATTAATTCATTGAGAAGACACCACTTGGTTTTGTTTTGGCAAATATGTTTTTCCATTTGAGTGCACTATGCGGATATCTCATATTATTAAAAAAGCTCTTCCAAAAGGCACTTTAAAACGCTAATCCTCATTTATCTATCAAGCGAATAAAACCTCTTTTTTTAAGGAAACTATCTATTTAAGGGGAAAACCTTATTACAATCTTTATGCTGATATCTTAATTTTTCTATCACCTGTATGACGTTGAATTTGTCTCCACATTTATTTATTGCGTTGAAACTGAAACGTTCGGCTCGGTGCAAGTTTTGAGAGGATAACAGCCATCTTCCAAATACTTTAAACACTTATCGTGCCGTTGAAATTTTTCACCGTCTAAAAGGCAAGATTTCCGCACAACCGCATCCTGCATTATGCACTCAGTTCTTGGATAGAGAAAAAAAATGACAAGAGCAATACATTGCCATTGAGAAAACAGATTTGTTTTACAATAGTATGGGGCTGTGCAGAAATCTAACCGTCCAAAATATACTCTATTTGTTTAAAAACAGAAAGTGAGTTGGTGGGAGAAAATAATTTTGCTCGAAACATAATAACCTTTCGTTGAAAAACAGAAGTCTACGTATTACTTATAAAAACCAAACTTTCTGTTCTCTAATTTGGCAAGTGATTGTGTCTTCATCGAGAGGCGTTATACAACCACATCAATGTTTTGCGACTGACTTCGTGAAGTGTAAACAAATAAAATTATAAATGAAATAGCAACAGTATAATTTAAGAATTTGACGGAGTCATGCATACATTTTCGTAGCATAACGCCTCAAGCAGATTTGATAATCTCCACAACCGGATTGAAGCCTAAAGCCTTTTTATGTGAGTGCAAAGTGTCTTGCCTTGAACATATCACATAAACCCCGACTATAGTTCGATTCCGGACCTTTCAGATAGCAGGCGTTACGATATTATCAGAGATGAAAATTGATCTTTCTGTGTACTCTGTAAATGTAAACAGATCTGATAACAGACCACGGAAATGGCAAACCAGTACCAGCTTTTCATGTGCTTGTTCTCCTACGTTCTATTGACGATAGCGAACAAAACTGATCACGGTAACTCCATGACCAAGATTGACCTATACATCGGTGGCCTGTTTGGTGTCAACGTCAAAAATGGCGGTTGGAGTACAGCTGGGGTCATTCCAGCTTTGGAGATGGCGTTAGAACATGTGAACAGCGATCCTGGCATATTGGTGAACTATCAGTTGAAATACGTGTGGAATGATTCCAGGGTATGTTCTCAGTGCAGGAGTAGAGTTATAAAACTGTTAATTTTTTTTTTTGAAAAGTAAACAGATAATTTCAGTATCGATTAATGCATCTTATAGAAAGGAAAACAAGATACAAAGACGAAAGAAAGAAAGTAACGAAACAGAAATGTTTTGGCTTCTCTCTGTTGTGTAATTGCTACATATGAATCCTAAATTATAGACTACCACTCTGGTTCGATTCAGCGCACGGGGCGCTTCTTCAAGTTACTTTTTGTACCGCAAGAGAGGGCACTCATTAGAAACTGGGCGCTTATTAAGGACAGGGTGCTTGTTTGTCCATTTGAAAAAAAAAAAAATTAAGTAGACTGGAAAACGGACATTTTGTCTCTGGATCTTCCTTGGCTAGACCGACCAGCCAAGCAATCGCCTCAAATTTTAAGACGAGATCATTCGTTTAAAGGAACTGTGCACTAACGTGGACATAAAAGTTGAGACTGGCACGTAGACCGCTGTTTTTGTGATAACGCCGGGTTGTGGCATTTTGAAATTACTTGCGCATTTTGTACTAAATATTGCAGCAGTTTATCATGAAGGCGACCTACGCTTTTCGTAATAAGGGCTGGAGCATTTTGTAATAATCGTCTGTGTACACAAATTTTAACATCACCCGGTGATGCGTCAAGTTGACACAAATTTCAGTGATATCAACTTTGTCACAAAAACATGCAAACAAATAAGAAAAAATGGTATCACTGAATCAGTGACGAGGCACAAAATGGGTAGGTTATTACAAAATGCGTCGTTATTACAAATGCCGCGGAACACATGGGTTTTCATCACATTTTTGTTTGAAGTTGGTTTTGCTTTCGTTAAGATTAGAAAGCTATAAGAAGATTTGGAATTCTATTAGAATTATTTCATTCAATTGATCAGTAAGTTTAATTCAGAAATTTGATCCTTTTTCAAGTGCGAAAGTGGCGCCGGAATTCGAGCGATGCTGGGGTTAATTAACACACAGCCTCACAAGATTGTATTCTTGGGTCCCGGATGTTCGTTAGCGACCGAACCTATTGCAGAGGCCGCGCTATATTGGCAAGCAGTGCAGGTGACTTACTGTCATTTACATATTTATGACGCTTTTTTTTAAGCAAAGTCGGGAACCAAATATTTTGCTCTAAGCTGATGTAGACGGACCTGACTTGCTTAATGAAAAAAAATACGATAATAACAATATTAGTGACTATTATCATTATCATCATTATTACTGCTATTACTATTATTGACGACTTCTTTGCTATATATACTTTGATTGGTTTTGTTCTGTTTTGTTTTGTTTGTTTTTTAGATTGGTTACAGCGCATCATCACCTCAGTTTTCAAACAAAGAGAAGTATCCTTTATACTTCAGAACCGCCACTTCTGAAACAATGGAAAACCCAGCTAGAGTCGCGCTGTTAAAACATTTTAAGTGGAAAAGAGTCGCCCTCCTTGTGGAAAACTTCTATATTTTTGCTACAGTAAGAATTGCCGGATTATTATAACTCTGCATGAACATGTCAGTTCATCTCTGAAACGTGATGGAGTTAGTATTCCAACAAAAAGCTAATACAATTAAATTAAAGTCACAAATCTACAATCAACAGACAAAAGTACGTCATCTTTAAACATGTGATTCTCTTACCCGATAGAACTCGCCAACCCTTGCATTAAAATATTAATTTTTTAATAGACAAAAGAACATCTCATTCCCATGTTAGAGGAATCAAACATCACCGTTATTGCGGCAGAAACCTTCATAGAGGACCCGTCTTCATCAGTCAAAAATTTACTGAAGGTAAAGAGTAAATCTATACTTCACATTTAATTGTCTATCTTTCAACTTGCTACTGTTATACCCAAGTTCTTCAAACGCCGAATAGCGCTAAGCCAGGGCAGGGCTTTAATCCGGGATTTTTTTTCCTTTATTAAAAAACTTTAGTGGGATAGTTTACTTTTTCTTTTTCGAACATCCAATTACCAAATTGTGGACAAAAAAAATTATACTGAATTTTCTTTTAAAGCTTTGAGATCTGATATCAGATTTCACACTAACCCTGCATGAGTTATCTGAATCCAGGATTAAACAACTCGGCTATGTAGACCAGGTTGTTCGAAAGGGGATTAACGTTAATGTAGGATTAAAAGTTAACCCAGACTTTAAATTCTCAATTAGAAGAGCACGTACAAAGGCTAAGGTTTTGTTATGTTTGGTCTCAAC